TTTCAATATTTGAACGTAATTAAAAAAATATATTATCTATATGTTATAAATGGAAACATATCTACAAAAACGCTTGTATGTATACAGAAAAAGTTACTTATATTTTTATAAAATTGGAATCGGATTATCTATTAGTAAATTATTATTTAGTGCATCGGGATTATCATCGTTAGCCCTACCTCCACTAGTTTGTTTATCTCTTGGCGCAGGGGTAATAGAAATCTTAGATAAGAGGTTAAAAATATCAGAAAGAATTGAAGAATATAAGTTGGTTTATAAATTTTATCGACAGTTATTGCATTTATATAAGGCTGATAAAATAAACGAAAAAGAAATAAATTTACGTGAAGAGGAATTTATCAGTAATTTTAATTATTTTCCCAGAGAGAAATACCTAGAAAAAGTCCGCTTAAACGGAAATTAAATTCGTCTGCGACTCATGAAGTGTTTCACATAGTAAATAATTAATTAAGATAATTATTTTTTAAGATATTCCAATTGTTTAATTTGATATTTACTCAAATAAATGAAATATATTATTCTTTTCTTATTTCTCACTACTGTAAAAAGTTCAGATGATGTCTGGCACGGCCAGCCCAGAACAGAAGACGATGTTAATATTAATAATTATTTAGAAAAATTTGGATATTTAGCGTCAGCTGAAGCAGACTCAGGTCTGCGACTAGATAGTAATGGACCATTAATAGCTGAAACCAGTGAGGCATTAATAAAGTTTCAAGAATTCTATAATTTACCTGCTGATGGAACATTAAATCAAGAAACACTTGCATTGATTAATACTCCTAGATGTGGTGTTAGAGATAATCCAACTGCTTATAGAGTTCACACTAACAAATGGTCTAAAACAAATCTTAAATGGTATTTTTCGTTGGCAACAAACGAAATGAAAGAATTAGCACAAAAAGCATTTGATCAATGGGAATCGGTTTCAAAATTAAAATTTGAGTTTAATAGTAATAAACCAGATATACTTGTTTCATTTGCTAATATGCCGTTTCAACATAATCATAATTCCCGGTGTCAAAAAGGAGTATGTTCTAACAGTTTCGATGGGAAAGGTAATATTTTAGCACATGGATTCTTTCCAAATAATGATGAATGTCGAGGAATTCATTTTGATAAATCAGAAAACTGGTATTTTGGAGAACTAGGTAATACTCCTGACGGACAAACAAATTTTTATACGGTATTATTGCATGAGATTGGACATACTTTAGGTATTGAACATTCTGCCAATGATAAAGCAATTATGTATGCTTATTATAAGGGAGATGGTGATAAATTAACGCAAGATGATATTTGGGCAATTCAATATTTATATGGAATACCTGAACGGTCAAAATATGAATCAATACCAACTACAACATCTACTACAACTAAAAAACCTATTACTTTGACTCCTAGAAAGACTGATTCATTACCTGATTTATGCAGCTTAAGTGAAACTATTAACACATTTTTAATAGCAAATCATAAATTATATATTTTCTACAAGAAATATGTTTGGATTGTTAATTTAAAAGACATGAGCTATGATAATAAACCAAAATTAATTACAGATTATTTAACTTTTTTACCAGATAATTTTCAAGAAATATCACATATTTATCAGAGACCAGATGGAACTATTTTGTTAACAACAAACAACTTATATTATATTATTGATTTTCCTAGTTTCGTTGTTAAAAATGGTTATAATGGAAGATCTATCACAAGTTTGGGTGTTCCTAGTGGAAAGAAATTTAATGCAATATTTAGTACTTATTCTGGTCAAACTTATATATTTTATGACAACACAATGTTTATAGAATTTGATGAATGTCTGTTTAGACCTAAGAAACATGGTATGATAGTTGAATTGTTTTCTAGTATTTCTTCTAATGTTGACCAAGCTTTTAGATATATTAATGGAAAAATTTATTTCTTTAAAGACAATAATTACTACGAGTATCATGAATTTTTGCAAACGACAAAATCGTATAAATTTGATTTATCTATTTTTGGAATTAAATGTAGTATTATAGATAAGATTATGATTTTACTAAATAAACTTAAATAATTATTTTTTTCAAATAAATGGTGGAAATTGAATTGCTTGATATAGATCTTAATAGAAATTATACAATTCACAGTGTTGAAAGATCTAGCTATCTCAATGGAGTAACGTTTTATCTACTTTCATATACAAACACATAGATTGTGTTTATCTGTAACAGATATAAATAGAGATGATCCTACAACAGATGAATTAATTAATAATATTAATCACTTACTTTCTTTAAATAAAACTGTATATCTAAAAAGAACTAAATTTCACTGGCAGTCATCGAAACAATTAGATAATGGCTGTGACATTGACATAATTGAAGAAGAATAAAATAATTTTCAGTAATAATATCATAAGAGCACTTTCGTATATTCGGATATACGGAAGTGGTCGAATGATATTTGTCATGATTATATCACGACAAAGTTGTAGACGCAAACCGATTTTTTGAGTTCATTTCTGACATTTTCAAATGAGTCAAACTGACGTTTGAGAAATTTTTTTTTTTGTAATTCGCGGTTGCTACGATAATTAATAAATGCTATAGTATCACCCGAACAAAAAAGCCAATAGGAAAGCGAAACACCAAATTGAATATACAGCTTTCAAAAGACGTTATTGGTCTTTTTGCAATGAACAACAATGTATCTTCCAGAAACACTGTCATTATTGGCTCGTTTTTTTAAAATTGCAAAGCATTATTGGTTTAATAGATATGAGTGATATAATCTCTTATATACTAAATAAACTTAAATAATTTTTATATAAATGGATAATAAAATAACTTTGAATTGAAATGAAAACGGTATTTCTACTATGTGTTTTAAAGTAAATGACGAAAAATTATGACAAGAGAGTTATTTTAGAAGACTTTGATACAATACCATTTGGATATTAATCCTTTTAGAGTAAATTAACTTCTTATAACTTTAAAACACATTAAACACAAAAAAATTAATGTTAAAAAAGTATTTTATCGTTTTTATCCATCGTATCACTTTTTAGACACAAATTGGAGGTTTGATATACAAAGAGTAACTGAAGACTTGTAAAGGTTTAATTTATTTATTAGAAATTCTAAATATTTTGAATTTTCAAAAATAGATAAATTGCATGCAGAAGAGTTGCCTGCTAAAATCGAGTTCAAGAAACCTTTATGACCATGCCGTTGTATGTTGCACTAGCACACCGAGAGATGGCGCGAAGTTAAATGTCAAAATAAAGTCGCTGTCTGTCAACCTGATAACCAACGTTGTCACTGTTGTATTCATCTTATCACAAGTTTTTCGAATAAAACAAAAAGCAAGGTATGTACCTTTTTTGTTAATGTTTTTAGGTAAATGTCTTTTGTCTTTCCAATAGATGGTGAGATTAAAACGGTGCTCCGAGATGAGTGTATTGAAAAATATAAGTATGAGGATGGAAGGCTTGCCAGAGACAGAAGTGTGGGTCGCACTAATGAAGACGGCCGTTTCATTTAATTCCTTAAATTCGTTCTACGACGGATTCTATTACAAGAATGATATTGGGATCAACAACATCAGTAGAAACCAGTTAAGCCTTCGAGTAAGTGGAGGCAGAAATGTATTGTTAAAATTCGGTTCTCCAGGGACAATGGAGGAATTTTGCAAAAGTATCAAGTAAGAACAATTTCTCTATTTAATTTATAACAGTTATAAGGTGTCTAACAAACCACAAGGAAAAAAATATTTATTAAATAAAATGGGTGTGAATTTAAAGTAGCACTATAGTATTAAAAATAACATCTTGCGCTTGTTATAACCCACACAATACCTACAATACAAACTGTATTTTTTTGCAGTTACATAGAAGGGATTGATGCCCCATGTCCTTCTCCAGTCTCATCGCCCACACCATCGCCACCAGAAAGCACGCCCTCTCTATCTCAACCATAAAGCTCATCATGAACAAAATAATAGATAAATATTTAGATTATTACTTTTGAATAAATATTTTAAAAAAGTTTGTTGGAATTTTATTATTATAGAGGAATCACGATAAAAAACGTTTCGCTGAAGTGACCTAATAGAAAAAATGTGCTGAACAAGCCCATATGGTTTTGCTTTTTTAAAAATACCTTCGAAAACAAAGTCAAAATGCTTAAAAAAACAAARTGTTCTGAAGGGGGCTTCTAACTATGGTGTTTTCACGATTTTTTCTGCTTTTCTGCTTGCCCTTGAAAATCGGGGGTATTTTCACGATTTTTTTTTGCTTTTTTTGTTTACCCTTGAAAATCGGGGGTGTTTTCTATTTATCCTTGAAAATCGGGGTGTTTTTGTGCTTTTTTTAGATTACCTTGAAAACCGGGCTATTTTGCTTAATATTTTTACTTTTTTTAGATTACCTTGAAAATCRGGTTATTTTGCTTGATATTTTTTTACTTTTTTTAACTACCTGGAAAATCAGGGTGTTTTGCTTGGTATTTTTAGCTTTTTTAACTACATTGAAAATCATGGTGTGAGGTGTGCCTGATTTTCGCAATATTTTCTGCTTTTCTATTTACCCTTGAAAATCCGGTCATTTTCGCAATATTTTCTGCTTTTCTATTTGTCCTTGAAAATTGGGTCATTTTGCTTGAAATATTTACTTTTTTTAGATTACCTTGAAAACCGGGCTATTTTGCTTAATATTTTTACTTTTTTTAACTACCTAGAAAATCGGGGTATTTTACCTTAAAAAATGAGGTGTGCATAGGGGCCCTCCTTGTAGTAGAGTACTTTCTTTGATTTTCAAAAACTAGTTGTTTCCCGCCACCAGTGTCGCCAACTTTGCCGATTGTCGGTTATTTTTAGCAGATTTTATTAAAGTGCCACCGAATTAAACTTAAAAAACTGATAACTGATTTTATTACCGAATTAACTGAATTTTTAACTGACTTTTAGATCTGAATTTTTTAAGCTTTATTGCTATTTGGTTGGCGATCATGATAAGTAAGATGTCAGTTGTCATGAATTATCAAATGTAAATAAAATAAAAGGGTTGTTTTTATGTTCAAAAGGTGTAAATCGTTGTTAAAAACCACAAGTAATTTGTATAAAACTGTACTAAAAATGTCGCGAGACAGTTCCAAAGGTAAATCAAAAATTACATTAATTTTGTATTAATAAAAATGCAGATAGGGAGGAAGCTAAATCAAAACAGCCCCCAGAGGTGCAATCGGAGGAAGACAACGCCTCTGGTACTTCCATGAGTATTGATTCTTTGCGCAAATATCTAGCAGAAAAATTGGGAATTTCTGATGACGATGAGAAAGAAAAAATTAAAATACTCGACAATGTTTCTGTAGATGGAATTGTAGACTATATCAAAAAGAAGAATTGTAAAAACATTATTACAATGGCAGGAGCGGGCATTTCCACCTGTAATTATCCAAATTTTGTTGAAGTTTAACACCAAAAAGTATTTTAGCCGCTGGAATCCCGGATTTTCGCTCCCCAGGAAGTGGGCTATATGATAACTTGCAGAAATACAACCTGCCTCATCCTCAAGCAATATTTGAGTTGGATTTCTTTCACAAGAACCCTAAGCCGTTCTTCACACTGGCTAAAGAATTGTATCCTGGTTCTTTCAAGCCAACCATTTCTCACTATTTTATTAAACTTCTAATTGAGAAAGATTTGCTTTTGAGACATTATACACAAAATATTGACACTTTGGAACGGATTGCAGGGATTCCAGAAGAGAAAGTGGTTGAAGCTCATGGCACTTTTTACACAGGGCATTGTTTGGAATGTAGGAAAGAATTTAAATTAGAGTGGATGAAAGGTTACAATTTTATTATTGAAACAATGTTTTATAATTATTTTTTTAGAAAGAATCTTTAAAGATGAAGTTCCAGAATGTGAGAGTAAAAATTGCAAAGGTGTGGTTAAACCTGATATTGTTTTCTTTGGGGAGGCTTTACCTGAGAAGTTTTATGGTTTGATAGAAACTGATTTTAAAAAATGTGATTTACTTATAATCCTGGGGTCGTCTCTGGTAGTCCAACCATTTGCCTCTCTTGCTGATAGGTAATAGTTATTTCCTCACAATTCCCCAATTTTTGACTAATAATCTACACCTTTTTCAAGAGTAATTTAGAAAGCGTAAGATATATTTCAGTAAACGTTAATTATAATTTAGATCAGTCAATTGTATTTCAGAAAGTATTAATTGTAATTCAGAACCGTAAACTGAATTTCAGAAACCATCAGATGTAATTCATTTTAATTAATTTAAGTTTGTCATTTGTAATTCAGAATTCGTTATTTTCATTTAAAAATTACATTATCAAAATTCCTTTGAAAATAAAATATCTTATTTATTTTGTAAAATACCAAATTTATGTAATTCTCGATGTAATTCTGAAAATAAAATAATTCCTGTTTATGTGTAAACTTGATTTTGAGATAACAGTAAGATACTCATCTGAATTACAATTGATTTTTTCTGGATTACATGTAACATGAAATTGAATTTATTTATTGTTCTGAATACATGTAATGGTTTCTGAATTACAATTATTACTTTATGAAATTACAATTGACTAATTTGAATTTCAATTTACGCTTTCTGAAAATAAATTGACTACACCTTTTTCAAGTGTAATTCAGAAACGACCACATGTAATTTAGATTAGTCAATTTAGTTTCACAAAGAGTAAATTGTAAAGAAAGTGTTAATTGTAATTTAGAAACCATTAAATGTAATTCAGATGAGTAACTTGCTGTTTACACATAAACACGAATTATTTTATTTTCAGAATTAAAGAATTACATAAACTTGCCATTTTGCAAAATAAATAAGATATTTTATTGTCAAAGGAATTTTGGTAATGTAATTTTTAAATGAAAATAACGGATTCTGAATTACAATTGACGAATTCTCAGTTACAAATGACAAACTCTGAACTATAATTAACACTTTCTGAAATACAATTGACTAATTTGAATTCCAATTTACGCTTTCGAAAATTAAATTAACTAATCTGAATTATATTTGATAATTTCTGAAATTCATTTTACTGTTTTGAATTACAATTAACACTTTCTGGAATTCAATTGACTAATCTAAATTACAATTAATGTTTTCTTAAATATATCTTACGCTTTCTGAATAACACTTAAAAAAGGTGTAATCTGAATTACATGTGATGTTTTCTAAATTACACTAAATTACACAAAAAGGTGTACACCTTTTTCAAGAGTAATTCAGAAACCATTAAATGTGATTCAGATTATTTAATTTAAGTATTAATTGTAATTCAGAAACCATTACATGTAAATCAAAACAGTACTCATTAACATTACATGTAATTCAGAAAATATCAATGAGTAACTGTTTTCTCAAAATGAAATTTACACATAAACCCGAATTATTTTATTTTTAAAATTAAAGAATTACATAAACTTGGTATTTTATAAAATAAATAATATATTTTACTTTCAAAGGGATTTTTAAATAAGAATAACAAATTCTGAATTACCTACAATTGTCGAATTCTCAATTACAATGACAAACTCTAAATTACAATTAACACTTTCTGAAATACATTTGATTAATCTGAATTACAATTTAGGCTTTCTGAAATTAAATTAACTAATCTGAATTACATCTGATTGTTTCTGAAATTCATTTTACTGTTTTGAATTACAATTAATACTGACTAATCTGAATTACAATTAACGTTTTCTTAAATATATCTTACGCTTTCTGAATTACACTTGAAAAAGGTGTATTTTATTATCTCGAGAATAAAATAAATACTGATTTTTACTCTTAAAATTGAATCTTTTGAGTGTTTTAAAAAAATATATTCCATGACTTTTGTTATTTATTACAGAGTACCAAACACTTGTCCACGACTTTTAATAAACCGTGAAAAAGTTAATAACAGCTCAGGCATAAAGGCATTGTTTGGTTTTGGTTCTGGGTTTGACTTTGATGGGAAAAATAACACAAGAGATGTTGCGTGGATTGGAGATTGTGATGAGGGTTGCCAACTCCTGGCCGATAAATTAGGATGGGGGGTGAGGCTCCTAGATCTATTACCACAAACTAATAATTTTTTTAGGATGAGTTGAAAAAATTACGCCAAACTGAAATTGACAAAATTGAAAAAGCTAATGCCACTCTTGTGAAAAGTTCCATGTAATTTATTGTATATAACTCAGGTTTTATGTTTAAAAAGTGAAAGGTTATTTATGGTGTTATGAAAATGTTTTTTATTTTAATGACACATTTTTACCAAAATTAATAACTTCGCCCAAATAATGTATAAAATAATGGCTTCTTTTTACAAGCAGGGTGGATGCATTTGTCACTGTCTTGGATAGAGGCTGGTTGTTCCAGTGGTATACATAGTGATTTAGCCCCCATTGAAGGGGCCCCAGGCTCGACGTCATCATCCCTATTAGACAAAACGATAGCAATAAAAATAAAACATGAAATTAATTACCTAGCACTCTCAGCTTTAATTCTATCTTCGCACGATATTTCTCCACAAAACGGTGCCAAAATCATGTTTTTCTTATCCAAACTAGCGGCAAATTGTGACCAATCTTTCAATAAAATCGTATGACTTTTCATATCTTTAGCGGCTTTCTGTAACAAACTTTTCTGGATATCATCCAATAAATTTTGTAGTTTTTCAATAGCAGTTTCACGTGGGAGAGTAATTTTTTCACCGGTATCTCGTCTAACCGCCACAATTTGTTTCTTTTCGATGTCTTTAGGGCCAAGCTCGACCCGAATTGGCACCCCTTTTAATTCCCAATGGTTGAATTTCCAACCAGGCGAGTAATTATTTCTGTAATCTCCTTTGACTTTAATCCCGGAATTCCTTAATTCGGCTTCAAGATTATCACAAGAGGCTTGGAGATCATTTCGCGCTTGTTCCGACAGACCTACAGTTACCCCACATGGTACTAAAACAACTTGAACACTGGCAGCCCTCGGTGGAAGCACTAGACCCTTATTATCAGCATGCACCATTATCATAACACCTGAAATAAAACACTGAGTTACTAAATCGATAGTTTTGGCTGAATTTAAGGACAGAAAACTCGGCAATTTTGCTCGATTTGAACACAGAATTCGTCGTTTCTGACCAAAATAAGATTATTTGATTAATTTCCAATGGATTTGGCTGAATTTTAAGCCGAAAATCAACCTAAATCAAAGTATTTTAACAAAATAGCTTGAATAAGAGTTTTCTTGCGTAAATTGCATTTTGGTGGCAAAAAACGATTTAAACACGTGTTTTGTTGAAATACATTGATTTGTGAGATTTTCTGGCTTAAAATCTATCCAAAACCATTAGAAATAAATCAAATCGTCTTATTTTGCAAAGAAAGCTCAAAAAATACATTTATTTACAGGCTTTTCTGGCTTTAAATCAATCTAAACCCATTTGAATTAACTTAAATCGTATTATTTTGACCGGAAACAGCGAATGAGTACTTATTTTGTCAAAATACATTAATTTGCAGGGTTTTCTTATTCAAAAACAACGAAATGTGTGTTTATTCGTCGTTTCTGACCAAAATAAGACTATTTGATTAATTTCCAATGGATTTGGCTGAATTTTAAGCTGGAAATCAACCTGAATCAAAGTATTTCAACAAAATAATGGCTTGAATAAGAGGTTTTTTTTTGCAAAATAAAGCAATTTCTTTGCGTAAGTTGCATTTTGGTGGCCAAAAACGGCTATTTAAACACGTATTTTGTTGAAATACATTGATTTGTGAGGTTTTCTGGCTTAAAATCCATC